AAAACTTGAGCACCCGTCGAGCAACCAAATGAAAAAGGAGGTAGCCAAAGCGCTCCTTACGGAAAAGCTGCAAAGGCGCTACCGTATTTACTCGCGTAATCCTCGAACTTGCATAATTCTCGCACCCCCCACTTCGCCCAAGAAAAATATGATTTCTTTTTTTTCCTCGAGTAATTATCACAACCCCGAAAACTGCCGCAATAATGTCGTCTGCTCGTTCCAGCCACTGATGATGATAGCGCGCGCCATCTCTTAAGCATCAAGCGTACTACTGCATGCAGATTCAATCCAATCCAAGCCAAGCAGAAATGGCCAGTGCGTGTTGCGGCGTGTTTTGTAAGCTGTGTCGGTAATCTTGGCACTTTATGGGGTGATACTGAAGCTACACGGCTGCTTCAAGTTCCAAGTGATAGATCATGCACTAAACAACGGCAGCAGGGCCGCCGGTAGGCCGTTCGGAGTCTACGAGTTTTGTGTTCGCCACTGGTGACGGCAGCTAAAAGCCACCAAGACGCGTTGGGCCTGCCGTGTGCCTAAAACTGGGATTAATGGTAAACTTTATTTCTTCAGAAGAAAACTGCGGACGATTCTGCTAAACAGCCATCAGCCCAATACTGACGTTCTACGCTTACCTTTTGAGGGCTCCTGTTGAGCGTCGAACGCTACCGCTACGCCCTTAAGGGGGGGCGCGGCAAGTAAAGTGCCGATTTTGGTCAAAATATGCGATTTTCTGATTTATTTTTTTTCGTAATCTTCAGACCTTCAACTTCCTTGTTCTAAAATATTACAGCGAAACGTGCGCTACAAATCCCGCAAATAGTGTTTTTGCCGAGGCTAGTCGCCGAAAAGTGCGAAAAAAAAAGCCCCTGAAACGGTGTTGTTCACGCCGCACAAACGCGCCAAGTTGTTGACCGTGGGCCGCCATTTTGGTAGCTTTGGAAAGAGGAGAAAGCCGGCTTCCCGATGGTCGCGGTCTCGTATTTCGCCGAGTGAAAATAAAAGCGCGAGGAGCAAGTAAAAAAACGAAAACGAAGAACGGCAATTGGCTGCGCGGGTCACGTGGTAGCAGGCGCGACCTCTTACTGGTCAAAGCTGCGCCGCGCACCTTGGCAACCTTGGAAGCGCGAGCGCATCTGCGGCCGCCGAGTCGAGAATCATCTGGCGTGCGCTTCGTTTTTTGCCAGTTGGCTGTTTTTGTGATAGTTCGCGTGCTTTTTTTACCAAGCTTTGTTTACATCAGTGGTCTCTTCTGAGTGCTTGCTCATACTGCGGTGCTATGTTGTCGCAAAAAAAGTTCCGGAGCGTCCACAAGTACGGCAAGCGTCGGAAAGCTTGGAACAAAGGGCAGACGACTGCGGCTGCCGTCCCAGTCGCAGTTCCGAACGGAGCATGCTCTTCAAGCGTCACGGAGCCTCTACTCAGACCCTTCGCTGATTGTTGTGAGGCCGAGAGTGTGGAATGTGCCACATCGTCGTATGTCAGACCGCCGGATGCCGTCGACCGTGATGGACGCTCTCGCGAACCCGATTGCGGTGGCACCGCGTCGGCAGCCGTTGCAACTCCGGGCGTGCGCGCGTCGAACATTCTATCGCGAGTTTCGGCCCAGATTCCGAGCAGTGAAGAAATCGCGCAGCGGGCGCAGACAAGGCGGGATGTTTTGGATGCCGTAGCATCGAAGTCCGCTTCAAAGCGGAAGCTCGAGCTTCTGAACGAAGGCTGCGACGAAAATGACGGCGGTAAGGACTCCACATTCTTCATTGTAAATAAGAAGATGCTGAACGGTCTGCTTTCGTCAGTAAAGTGCAACAAGTGCGACGAAGGGTCGATACGCCTCGAGACTACGCACTGCCTTGGACTCGCGGCGAGGATGGAACTTTTTTGTGACAATTGTGGCATAGTGAACAGTGCGTGGTCGTCCCCGAGGTGCTCCGGGCAACAAAAAACGAACCCCTTTGAGGTAAACGTGCGTGCTTTGAGGGCTGTGCAGTCAGTTGGCAGAAAACAATCTGCCATAAATGACATTTTTTCTGCGATGGACATTTCGCATCGAGCACTGCACCACAAGTCCTACCAGAGACTGCAAAGGAAGTACAGCCACCCTGCCACCACATCAGCTGCCACCCGCATTGAAGCAGAAAGTGCACAGAAGGTGCATGACATTTACAAGGACCTAGGAGGAGTGCCAGGCAACATTGACGTCATTTACGACGGCACGTGGATGACGAGGGGGCACAGAAGTCATATTGGCGTGGGCTGTGTAATCGAGCTGTACACAGGCTTGGTCTTGGACCACTGTGTCCTGTCCAACTACTGCCAAGGCTGTGCTGTTGGCCCCAAGCCTGGTGACGACAACTATGAGGAGTGGCTTGAGAAACACAAGCCACAGTGCCAAAAGAACACCGATGCTAATGCAGGCCAAATGGAAGTAGAAGCAGCGAGGATCATGTTTGAAAGATCGTTTACCAAGTACAAGCTTCGATACATCAATGTGCTCTGCGACGGTGACAGCCGTACGTACCTTGCCCTCACGCAAGACAAGGTGTATGGCTACATGTTGATTAAGAAACAGGAGTGTGTGAACCATGTGAAAAAAAGAATGGGCACTTCCTTGCGCAACCTTCTTGATGAGCACAAATCCAAAGGCCGAGGACTGAGCATGGGTGGCAAAGGCCGGCTGACGCAGGGCCTTATAAAGAAGTTGACGAATTATTATGGCTGGGCCATTAAGAGCCACCCCAACGATGTTCCTGGCATGGAGAGGGCCATCATGGCCACTTATTACCATGTAACATCCACAGACCAGGATCCACACCACGACCTGTGCCCAAGTGGGACTGACTCCTGGTGCCCGCACAATCAGGCATTGGCCAAGGGAGAGCCGCTGCCGCCTCACAAACATAAACTGCCCCCTCACGTGCGAGGGGCACTGCTGCCAATCTACAAGCGCCTCTCGAACAAAGAGCTCCTTGAAAGGTGTGCGCAGGGAAAAACCCAGAACGCTGTGGAGAGTATGAACAGCCTCATTTGGTCACTCCAGTCCAAGAGCCAGTTCGCCTCCCTTCGAAGTGTGGAAAGTGCAGTTGCAGATGCAGTCTGCCGTTTCAATGGTGGCTGCAAGAGTGCGCTGCAAGAGATCACTGCTCAACTGGGCTTCAATCCAGGAGACTGCTCTTTGCGGCGAGCAGCCGAAAAGGATGCCAAAAGGGTGAAGAGGGCTCAAAAGGCGCATTGTTCCACGACAAAGAAGCGCAAAACTGGGTTGCGCTCTACAGAGGCCAAGGCCACAGCATCTCAGGATTACTGCCCAGGAGGATTCTGAGTGTTTTAGGCATGTTGTGAACTTCCAAACAAGAGTGAACTTTCAAAGTCAGTTTTCTCAACTCTTGATTTTCGCCTATGTGCCTTCGCTAGAACATCTGTCATTTTTTAACAAAGACTGATAGAGTCGTTCCGTTTTTTGCACTAGGCTCAGGAGGCCTTTAGCAGTGCAATAAAGCTTTATCTCTCTTCTTACTCATCATTTAAAATTTTTAGAACACATTTTATAATTACTGCGATGTGTGCGCAAAACAACATCCATGTTTTGGAAATTTTATTTATGGTTACAAGAACTAGAAAAATCAACTAATAGCTTCTTTGCACAAGTTGATGCTTTGGGAACATAATAATATGAAAAAATAATTTCATTTAGCAATAATTATCTCTTTAAGTGTGAAGAGCTTAATTAGTATAATTATGCTTGTAACTCAAAAAGTACAAGAGGTATTTGAAAACGGTTTTCATATTTGGAATCCTCACAATCATCCACATACACACACCAAATTTCATCACAAACAGTACATTAATAAAAAAATTAGTTTTACTTGCCACGTCCCCCCTTAATGCCCACAAGCTTTGCGTATGGTATTTCAATTCTTGACTATTTGCTTCCACTTTTTGTGTCTCAAATAAATCTTGCCTTGTGTTGAACCTCTGCTTTTATTGTTGAGGTAAGTTCTAATTAGTACTTTTTAAAGCTTGTGGGGGTGCTGACACCCTCTGTAAAGTTGTTTGCGCCGTGTGGCGCACGTGTCTCGCACCAAGGCCGCATTTTGGGTGACGACCGCCGAGCGATAGATGGCATGTTCGCGTTGAGTACCACTGTTGGTAGAATGGTGGCGTTGGCGGTCACCCCTGGCGGAAGGCAGGCCTTGGTGGCGGGCGAGAGTTGAGCGAGTCTCTTGCTGCGCATGGCGGCTGCTGCGAAGGGTTGTCTCTAGCGTGGGTCGGCTCCGCGCGTGGCACCGCGGGCCTGCGCGCCGGGGGGGCCCACGTGGTAAGTCAAGCGTTGGCGCCGCCGCCTTGGGTGTGTTATGGTGTCTGTCATGTTATTGTGTTTGGTGTGTTAATGTGTTATGTTGTTTGTATGGTAGCGTGTTAAATACAATTGATGTATCATTCGGCAGACGATATCGTTGTCTAAATTAGTTAAATAAGCTATGTATGTTATTTGGTTTGTACCGACCGCGTCTTCTGTGTCTGTTCACTCTAAGAGCGTGGCGTGGTGCTCGCTCGCCACGTCGAGACCCCACAAGCTTGCTGTAAGTTGCTGGTGTGAGAACCCCGATTTGCGGCCACTTTGTTTTCTTTTTCGCTCGGTACATTTTCGCGGAAAGTTTTCCTCGCGTAATTCTCGCACTCCCCAACTTTGCATCAGTTTTGCGGCAAAAAAAGTGCGAGGATTATGCGAGTAAATATGGTATGCTAGAAAGAAATAGAACTTATCAGCACGACTAGGTGGAGTCAATATGTATGGCAACTCTGAGCATGTGCATATGCCTTCAGTTTGTCACCACATTGAATAGTCAGTAGCCACACCACTGTGTTGTGCAACTGTGTTTTCTCACGGTATCCGATCTTTTTATAGTTTGAACAAAGCAAAGGGATCACGCTGAACCAAGCAGCCCTATTGTCAGGTTTTTCATTTTCTTCGGTAGTCAACGCAACAGCTTTCCACTCACCTGCAGATGAGACATCAACAGGCTGCTCCGTGGCGGCAACGGTGCTTCCACTGGCCTGTTGCTGGAACTGCTGGAAGGAGAGCTCTGTCGACGTTGGCGCAACCGAGGAGTCCGACGAGGTGTCTTCGAAGTTCTGCAGCATGTAAGGAATTGTGCTACATTGCCTGAGTACTTATCATTCAATTCGGCGACACTAATGAATATTAAAGACATGTGCATTTATGAAAAAAAGCTTAGGGTCACATGAAACGAGGATGCAACAGCCAAAATAGAATTGGCAGCAATTTTTGGAGCAGCAAAATGCTACTTCTGGAGCACTAAAATCTAAATCTGGATTAGGCTATAGGGGAAAAAAATTATCACGTAAGACCAAATTTAAAGCAGTATAAAAAAATTACATTTAGAAAGAAATGTATGTACAAAACATTCAATTCACCTAAATCGAGCAGAGAGGACATGAGCACTGCTCTTACAATAGAAGTAGTATCCTGAATTACTCCACTTAGCAAACAATGATGATCGAAGTCCACATGAGCATTTCTCGCACCTGTTGAATCCTTTGAAATACTCTGCGAATTCAAATGTGACTCTGCCATGCTGGCGACCTTGAAATTCCGGAGCTTCGTAAAACCCTAGTGTAGAGGTAGCAAAAAAAAAAAAAAATGGTACACAAGTTTTTTTTTTTTTTTTTTTAAGGCAGCAGAAATGTCATTCGCTGCTCCAAATGATTTAAAGTAACCTTATAATGGATGTCAGCGATCATACAAGTATTCATAATTATGGGGGGGCATACACGCACGAGTAGCTAAACAACATGTGGTGTGTCCCGTGCCTGGCGCTAACAGCCCCTTCCCAATTATATTACACTCTTCCACAGGACACCAGTGTACTGCAGCGAAGGTGGCTTTTAAGCACCGTTCTACGTGGAATAAAGCCAAGATCCTGAGTGCAGAACATTGACTAGACCAACGAGGACATAAGGAAGCACAAAATTATACAAAATAAAAGTAAACGACAAATCTATGGCATCCCACTAACATCCGGATGTGACAATTTTGGCCACCAAATCTAAATATTAAACTTGGGTCTCCATCTCTTCTCAAAATGACGCACCTTTGATGGCAAAACTATTGATAAGAGGGTTGCCAGAAGACAATTCAATGCGCTTACAAAGTTGTCAGTCAACTTAGATTTAAGTGAACCCCTACTATTGTGCAGCAGAAAAAAAGGAAACCATGCGAGGGCATTCAACAATCGAAATGACAGCCATTTATCAATACCCACAGTCCTCGAATAGTATTTATCTTCGAGTAACGGCAAAGGAGGCAAGCTAAATTGCAAACAAGGTTACTTACCGCAGCCCGCTCTCGCAGGTTCTCACCAAAGACAAACCCATCAGGGGGCGCTGCTGCGTGTGGCGAGTGGTTCCTGCAGCAGAGATTGCAAAGCACACTCAAAACTCTATACTATAACAAAGTTGCATGTTACTAGAAAGCAAGTTTGTTATATCCGAAAATTCATTATAAAGGTTATTCCTGACACTGTGCATCTTTGCAAGACACTGTGCATCTTTGCAAGACTATTTTTTATTTACTTCTTTACAATCGATGTTTCGTTGCATTTAGGTTTGAGTGTATAGTATAGGTCCACTGAAGTGAGAAACAATTCTGCTACTCTCAGCAAACTAGCCTTCCACAGCATAAAGAATACCAATTTAGCCGCGAGAAGACAGTTCAATTCTGCGCTTGACCTTTCATTTTGCTGCTATCGCGTTCATTGCTTCACCTTTGCGGCAAAGCTGTGATTTTTTTTTTACTGCTAAATACCGTATAAACCGGACTATAGGTCGAGTGAGAATATAGGTCGACCCCCCAAGTTCAGGTTACCAAAAAAGAAAAAAAAAAGGAAAACAACCCAAAACTGTCGAACCACATTTAATAGTAAATTAGGCGCACCGCACCCCGATCGTCGGAGCTCCCTTAACCACCATCGCAACTGCTCCTATTGGTCCGACGAAGCACCACTGTCTTTTGAAGACGAGAGTTTGTCGTTGGCCGCCTTCCACAGTGTGTTGTCTTCAGTGCCATCCAGCGAGTTGCTGATTCAACATTTCTTGAAAGCATTTTCCACCATGGAATCCGGCAAGGAACGCCAGGCGAAAAGCACCCAGCCACAAAGTCGTAAGCGGAGGCCTTTGTAGGCGGCCCGTCGTTGTCTTGGGGTTGTCACCGGACATCCACCTTTGGTATTCCAGCCACACTCGGTCCTTGAATGGCTTGTTTAGCACAACGTCGAGCGGCTGGAGGGTGGACGTCGTACCGCCTGGTATCACGGCGAGGTCCGTTTTCCCGTTGCCGAGTGCGTGCTTCACTGAGTCAGTTAAGTGGCCACGAAACGCATCCAACACTGTATGCTGCAAAGACGCAGCAGTGCACCTGGCCGACGATTCCACAGCACTCTTGTCCATTCGAGCATCATGGCCTCGTCCATGTATCCCTTTTTGTTGACGCGAACAACAACACCAGGCAGGAACACTTTGTTCGGCATTGTCTTGCGTTTGAAAATGACGAAGGGCAGAAGCTTTCTACGTTCTGCCGTGCATGCCAGCATGACGGTGAAGCGCGAGTGCTCGTTGCCAGTGGACAACAGCTTCACATCCTTGGCGCCGCGCTGCGTAATCGTGGTCGAGGAAGGCATGTCAAACCACACGGGGTCTCATCGGCGTTGCCAATCTGCCCCATCATGTAGTCGTTTTGCTCCCAAAGCCGGTTCACGAAGCGCTGAAAGTTTATGAGCTTGTCCTCGAACTCCTCCGGTAACTTTTGACAGATGGATGTGCGCCGCCGGAGAGAAAATCCTTTGCGTCGCAGAAATCAACGCACCCAAGAGTTTGGTGCACGGAACTCTTCTCTCGTGAATCCAGCTTCTAGAGCGAGTTCCACGGCTTTCTTGCGAATGGTATCCACGGACACTGGCAGCTAGCGCGCATGAACTTCCCGCACAAAGTCCGCTAGCTTATCCTCCAGCTGCGGATGAACAGCACTTCGTCCACGAAATGACATTTTTCTAGGATTGCACATCTGCAGCTTCCCTTTCTGTGCCCTCCAATAGCGCACGCTTTTTTCCGAATGTGGCGCTGAGCAGCCATATTCCCGTTCGCTTCTGCGAACTCAACAACATCTAGTTTAAACACAGCTGAGTACTGCCTCCTCGCACCGCTACTCATATTCAGTGAACGAAAAAAAAAAAGACCACTAAAAATGCACCGCAATATCAAGCGGAGCGAAAACTCGGAACAGATCGGAAGCAAATCATGAACACAAAGAAAACAGACGAAAAGATGAAAAAAACAGCTTGTGATTGGATTTGGATGTGGATATGGCCGTATCCGGCTTCTCAAGCACATGCAAGCCACATGTTGCCAGACAGCGGCACACTTTTGGCTAGATACTGCTATATAAGACGACTATATAAGACGAGGGGCCACTTTAGCTTATTATTTCATTGAAAATATCTCAACTTACATTCCGGTTTATACGGTAGTACAGTCGAGCCCGCTTATAACGAACCTGAGCCTGACGCAGCGTCCGTTCGCTGTATCCCAAAGTTCGTAGTAAATGAAACACAGCTTTTTAAAAAAGTTGCGAGTGAAAACACAAACTTTTTTTGCACCAAATAAGTTTTTGATGCACATGTTTCGAAGAGCAGAAACTATAAGGGCGGTCTCAAGTTTATTTAAAACGGCAGGCTGCTCGTTCGCCGAGGCCCGTGGCATATGCTGTATGAGGCGCTGGCTCTAAAGCTTCGTCGTTCTCGCAATCCGATTTCTCCAAATCGCTCTCGCCACGTACTACATTCACAATGCCCCAATCCATGCACGGTTCCGCAGTGTCGGCATCATCATCGGCCGTAATGAAATCATCGCAACAATTGTCCCACCCGCTCTCCTAGGTCGGAGTCGACGACGCACTGCCACAAATCGCCGCCGCAGTGGTCCTGTTCGGAAGCTTCAGGCTCGGCATCGGGCCCGACAATCGACGAAGTCGGCCTCGCGAAAATAGTTTCGCGCACATTTAGCCGTCACTGCCACCCACGAAATATTCACCACCTCCACAGCTGAATACCGGGACGCCTGAAGTGGCAAGTTAGCTGCCAGGTGGTCAACATCTATGAGCAAGCGCTCCGCAATGCGGCACCTAACATGCGGATTACGCTCAAGCGAAGCGGTCACACTTTCGACGTTTTGTTGAGCGGCTTGAAAAGCGTGCTAGTCCTCCCGTCGGCCATCATGACCACACACACACACCAAGAGCGAGCAAGACGCACACACGCACGGAACAGCTCTGGGCTCATTTCCAGTTGGAAAACAAAACTAACTCGAGCCAGCGTGGCGGGCGTCGCAGAGCGATGGATTCGGGCGAAGAGCAGACAAGCGAGGGGATCAAGAGGGGAGAGCAGACTTGCGAGAGAAAGGCAAGGAGTTGCAATAAAGCACGGGGGCATGAAAGATTCCTTCCTCCGTGCGATAAAGAGGGAGGAGGTTGCGGCGGGCGGGCGACCTTGAAAACCAAAACACACGGGAAGGAGGCAGGTTGGGTAGCTTGCTTGAAAGGTCCGCTAAACTCGCACGTAGAAAAACTTGAAAAGAGTGCCAGCGCGCGCAGAAGTCAAATCATGGCCGCCTCGATCGGCGGCCGTGATAGTGAGTGAGTGAAACAACTTTATTGACGATCCGGCATAAAGGGGGAAGGGGTAGGGGGATTAAAGCGAGACACTAGTGTGCTCGAACGTCCCGGAGCAGCAACCTACTCGCGTCAAACCCGTGGGGGCGCCGCTTTCGGCCGCTGGCGTTCCAGGATGCTAAGCACCTGCTGGACCACGTCTCTTTGATTGCCTGGCTCTCGGCTGATTATTTTGCTGCTTATGGCAGTTGGCATTACTTCTTGGTTACCCGGCGGTGGTGCACAGTCCCAAAGGAGGTGTCTCTGGGTGACTCGCACCTTCTTGCAGTGTTGGCATACATCAGTGGTGTAGACCTCCGGGCAAACGTGCTTTGCCCAGACAGGGGTCCATATTGCTTGTACTTGCAGCTGCCGTAGTGTGGCTGCTTCTCTGCGTTGTAGGTCTCGGTGAGGCGGTGGGTAGAGGCGTCTGCTCGTTCTGTACCACTGCAGAACGTCGGCGTAGGTTGTGATAAAATACTCTCCGTCTTCGGCATCGGGTCGTTGCGGCTCCGAGGAATGCGTTGACAGAGACCCGCAGCTAGTTAGCGCGTGTGCCTCCGTATCTGCCTCCTCGTTGCGGTTCGGGCCCACGTCCAGCTCCCCGGCGTGCGCAGGGAACCACTTGACGGTAATGTTAGTTTCCGGTTTTGCTATAGTTGAACATACTATAGTGGTTCCATGGACGTGGTTCCATGGACGTTGTTTGTAGGCCGTGATAAAAAAATCGTCTTGTTGCGCCGGCGGGTTTGCCTGGCCTCACGAACTTCGATATTTTGCAATTCATTCCACGCAAATTAACAGCCGTTTTTGTGCTTCGGCACGCGCGCGGAAGGCATGCTGAGCCGAGTGCGAAGTGAGCGAGAACAAGTCTTAAACACGAAAAGAATTGCAAATTATCAGAGTTGGTGGGGTAGCGTACGCGCGTGCACTAGACGCAGACTATCGGATACAGTAGGTGGCCGACGATGTTGGCAAATGGTCTGGTCACTCCAGGTCGGTGACGCCAACGACAGTACCAGCGATTAAAAACAGGGTATGTGGCCGACCGGTCTTCAAAAGATCGGTGGCAGTAAGAAAACACGGGCCTCGTCTGGCGATGCGGAGTGCTCAGAGTAGCGGGGGGACAAAGGACGGAGGGGTGCGTAACAAAAAGCGGTCGGGGAGAGCGGCACCTAGAGGGGCGCGGAGGCAGAATCGGCGTTTAACAATAAGAATGTGTGGGCACCTCGCTGATGCCTGATCAGTGGTCGAAATTGGTTTCCCGGGAAGTCGGCAGACCGCTGACTCCGTTCGCTGTAACCGATCAGCGGCGCTCAGAGACGTTCGTTGTAAGTGCGATTTTGTGCCATTGAAACAATGTATATTTTGATGGTCACGCGTATATTGTTCGTTTTAAGCGAAAGTTCGTTTTCGTTATATGTGGGCTCGACTGTAGTACGTAGCCACCGGTGGCACATACCTGCTCTAGAGTGCGTATGTGTCACAAAGGAGGCAAGATGGGAGATCGCTGTACTTGGACTGTCCACTAGATGGACGCACGGACAGACAGACAGACAGACAGACAGACGGATGAACAGACACACGGACAAACGGACAGATGGATGGAGGGGCTCACAGACGGAGGCATGGACAGACGGACGCAGGCATGGATGGTCAAGCGGACGAACGAAAGCAAGAACGAACGGACAGGCGGAAGCATGGGCA